AATTATTCTAAAAATATCCCTTTTGCTTTAGTGCAAATAAACTGTCACGGCCCTTCCTTGCTTGCTTTCTACTGCCAGATGTTCCTATTTTCCTTGCACCATGTTCTGACTTTTAAACTACATATTGACATTGCTGCTGTTTTCATTTTGCATTCATACTTTAATGTTGTCTGCTACAATGTTTAGGATTGTTACTGTATGTTGTAATTTGTTTTGACAACCTATTTTAACAAGGAAGAAAGCCCTAAGAGTTACAGAAAAGAAACACAACACTTTCTCTGCTCGGCAGAATATAAAAATAATACAGCAAGGGGAATGAGGACATTCTGATGAAAACTACAGTTCATTATCATGGTGAATCTACAGAACTAATCATGTGTTGAAAAGAAATATCAGTTTGCCCCTGACGTAGATTAAAACTGTTTTTTATAAATTAATGGGAGAGACGCTTATCACCGACAAGAGGCTGTTGTTGCTAAATGGAACCTCCATGTTCTGAGGTTGTATATCACTGAACAGTAACTCAGTCTGCATGATGGTTGGCCACTGTGAGGAAGAAAGTGTTGGCTAGACTGGTCTTTTACTGTTATTGAGCAAAACTCTGACATAGTTAAATCCTTTTCTTAGAAGGACAAACAGAAGTGTGTGTTGGTAATATTGCTCAAGTAACCACAAGGGACAAATGTTAGCTCAGCAAATGTTGTTTAATACATTGGTTTGGTTTTAGCCTTGAAGATGTTCAACAGCAGGCTCTGCATTGCTTCCTGAGCTAAAATTAAGGGTTTTAAAAATCCCCTTCCCTCTAATTTCCCTTCACATGAACAAGGCATTTTATTTGGCGGATAAAATTACCCTGCAGGTTTAACCTGCAACTCGTTAGAACAGGTTTTATGAACATAAGTACTAAAGAAGGATTTTTTTTAAAAGGGAGATGAGTTCAATCCACAGATCAACAGCCAAGCAGACTTTGTATGCTGTTGCCATGTCGGTAGCTAAAGGGTGTGAGAAAAAAAGGGATTGTATTTGCAACCCTCCAGAGCTCAAGGATGCCTTTTGCAAAGAAGGGGAAAGAGCTGGTCAGAAAAGCATGCCCATGGCTTCTTAACATGGTGTCAGGGCTTGGTAAAGCCTAAACCAGCTATTGTGAAGCTCACAAAATGGCTTTGCATCGTCCATTCCATCTCAGCCTGGTCCACCTTGCAAGACAGTTGTGGTGCTAAAACTGAGGGGCATATGCAAGAGGGAAAAAAAGAATCATGCACATTGCTTCAGATTTGTTTGAAGAAGGGGGAATAAATATTTTTAAAAGTTAAATGCAAAATCATTGCCTTCTTTCTTATGTGCATCCAAAGCGCACGTGCACTTTGAGGAAGAGCCAGGCAAAAACCTTGGTGATCCAGAAGACTCTCCATCTTAGGATTTTCTCGAGCGCAATAAAGATAGCCTGGATGATATACTGGACGGTATTCTGAGCTTGGAGGACGAGGAGGGGGAGGCGTAAAAGATCTTGGCCAGCTCCTCCAATCCCGTTGAGGTGTTCTGAAGGCAGCACTCCAAATAAACACCTGTGGAGGTAGTGCATGTTTTGCTGTGGGGGCACCACAAGAGTCAAGGTTGAACCTGAAAGCATCTCTGAGGAGGGGGGAAAAGCGCCTCAAGAGGAGGAGCAGAAGGTAGAGGCAGACTTGAGGACTTCAGCTTCCTTGGGGTCAATGAACAAGGGGGACCCGGAAGCCCTGCTGGTGATCCTGAGAGCAGCTCTGAGGAACATCATGGAGGAGCAGCTGCCGTCTCCAGCAGAGGCTTCAGCTTGGTGGGATCCGCTGGAAGTGCGGCCCCCCAGCAGAACCAGGAGCAGCCGAGATGTCTCCCTAGAAGACCTGCCCTCGGACCTGGACAGACCCCTGGAGGTGCCCTCAATGTCAGGGGAATCTGAACATTTTTGGCCCAGGTCCCCTTTGCCTCCGGCTACCCGCGGTGGGGGAGACGTGGGAGAACCGTCCACTAGTGCCAAAGAAGAGCCAGGCAAAAACCTTGGTGATCTAAATAAAATAAGACAATGAACGTTTGCTACAGAAGATCAACAGCGAGCAAGGTACCAACTCTGGACAGCCCTCAAAATGGAACCAAGGCCCTTTCGTCATCATTGTAGCTGTGAAGCTTCTGATGACCTTTACTTTGTTCTGCCTCTTTCTCATCGTACACAGCTCTGCGGTATCTAAGCCAGAAATCACCATTATTCTTATGTAAGGTCCATCGGAGAAAAGACGAAGCTTCTTCCAACTAGCTAATGGAAAATCACCTTCTGGGGAAAAAATGCTGAACTTTAAAAGAGGACAAAGCAAGTAAAGATCCCAAACGCAGTCAGCACATGGAGGTCTATCAGCCCTCACTCAAATCAAGGACTGCTATTCCCGGAAAGGTGATTTCAGTATTTCACACAGTGGCTTTGTCTCTTGCCAGCTTAAATTCTTGTGTGGATCCGGTCATTTATTACTTTTTAACAGATGAATTCCGAAGGCAGCTTTCAAGGCAAGATCTACAAGGCAGCATCCAGCTCCATATCAAATACAGTACTATGGAAATCCAAATGGCCTTGATCAAAATATTGGCGCTGGTTGTGTGGTGGGCCGGGTTGGTGGGGCTCATCAGCCTTGGAAGGCAGCCCATCTAGGAGAAGGAAAACTCCGATTTCAAACTTCCAATTGCCTTGTGGCTATATCCATGGATGGAAAAGGCTTCAAGAGTTAACCTTGAGGCAAAATCCAGAGTCAGTCAGTTCATGTTGTTGTTCTGGCAACTCCTGTGACATCACTGGAACCAATTGTATTGGCTCTTGCCTTTCCATTGGACTATTTCAGTGATGTGGAGAGGGGGGATTTGCTGCTTGGGTAACAGCTTATCCTCCACATTATATTGCCCATATTATTTTTTGTGCCCTGGAGAGGACACTCCATCTTCGCGTACAACACAGGAAGGGATGGACTATTTCAGTGATGTGGAGAGGGGGGATTTGCTGCTTGGGTAACAGCCTATATATTATATTGCATTGCCCATATTATTTTTGTGCCCTGGAAAGGACACTCCAGCTTTACATACAACAGGGGAAGGGATGGTCACTCTCGAATTGGCCTCCTCAGCCACACTAGACGCACGTTACCCTAGCCTCTGGAGACTGAAGGATCCCTGATCATGGTCCCCTTTAGTAAACTGTGTACTGTGTTGTTTTGCTATAGGAAAAAACAATCTTTTCAGGATTAAATTCAACAAAGCAAAGCTTTGAATTATTGGCCTCCTCAGCCACACTAGACACAGTACTTTCTTTACACAAAGGGGACCATGATCAGGCATCCTTCAGTCTCGAAGGATGCCACATCATGGTCCCCTTTGTGTAAAGAAAGTAAACTGTGTACTGTATTGTTTTGCTACAAGAAAAAAACAATTATTTTCAGGATTAAATTCAACGCCGCAAGGCTTTGAATCCTGAAAATTTACAGGATTCTCGCCTCACACAGGTGCAAAACGGCGCCTCAGATTTGAATGCCTAGAGAACTTTCTGTCGCGACTTCGAGGCGGTTAAAAAAAATTCCCCTCAGGGAAGAAAAAGGCGGGAAGACCTTCTGCTCCCTCCTCCCCCTCCCCCTCCGAAGAGACCGTGAGCCCCGCCTTCCAAGGCAGGGAGAAAAGCGCAAGCCCCGCCCCCTCCAGTCCTCCGTCACGTGCCCTATTCAGCCGAGGGCCAAACCCAGCGGCTTCCATCGAGGCGGGGTTTTCACTCCGTGACGCGCCCTTGAGGCCACGCCTTCCCCATTCCTCCCTCCCTCCCTTACGCCGTTGAAACGGACGCCAACCGCCGCCTGGCGTTTTTTAAAACCGCCCAATCGCGAGGCGGAAGCCGCGAGGCCTTTTCCACCCCGAACCAACCAATCAGCAGTCTGGACGTTGACAACGGCCCGCCGGAGTTCCCCTCGCGGATTGGGCGAGGAGGCGCGGCCCCTCCCCTCCAAGATGGCGGCGCCCGTTGGAGTGGAGAGCGTCGCGTAGAGCTGCGAGGAGAAGGCGCGGGGAGGACGAAGCGGGACCCCCTTTTCCGGCGAGGAGCGAGGAGATATCGACGGCTGGCGAGGCCAGGAGTGGCGCCACCCGCCTATTTTATTTGTGGGAGGCGAGGGGAGGAAGGAAGCCGCTGCACCTCCGTCGCCTGGGCTCTGCCGCCCCAAGTTTCCCTCAGGGACCCTCCTCTGGAGGGCTGGGGAGGGGGAGAGAGAGGAGTCCAGTGGGTCCTTCCTCCTCCCATCCTCTGAACGCCTCCCCACACTTCGAAGGCCTCCCCCCTGATAGGAAGGAACATGCCCTGACACGTCCCTGCCTCACCTCCTGCAACCCCTCCGAGGAGCCTTCCCACCCAACCCCGTCCGCCCTGCCTGACACTCTGGAAAAATGGGGGTCCCTTGCCGGGGCTGTTCCCCTCAGGACTGGCCCCTTCGTCGCCCCCGGTAATCAAAGGCCAGCTCCTCCCCGCTTTTCTACTTCAGAGGACCAACGTGAGCCTTGGACGGGAAGCATCTCTTTCTGCAGGAAGGGACGAAAAAAAAAGCGCTCCTCTTTCTGTCTTGGTGGATTCAGTCCTCGAAAGAGTTCAGAGAAGTTGAATGAGAGAGTACACCTTTTTTTTTGAGGCTCTTGTTGAGACAGAACTGTTACAGATTGTCCCAAGGAAAGGTTTTGTATCCTCAAGAGATGGAACATTCCTAGAAAGGATGTGCAAATGCAGGAGATGACTTTACCTGTTGATACATGAGCAAGACATCTGGATTAAAAATGTCTACTAGGCTCTGAAGAAGAACCTGAGGGTTACGGTGTCCAAACATTTGTCTGTACTGCATTTTCCATTTTCTTGCCAAAGCATTAACCCCCCCCCCATAAATATTAGATACTACAAGTACCTAGGACATTAAATCCAGCTCCTTCCTCCTCCTCCTCCTTTCAGGAAATTCAGGAAGCAGCAGGGGAACTTGCTTCAGCTACCATCCAGCCCACATTGACTCAGTTCACCTTTTCTTTGCCAATTCTTCATTTGGAGTTCAGCTATGGATCTAGTGTCTCTGGTTATCAGTGGCGCTGAGATGATTTTAAACCTCCTAGTTATCTTGCTGGACGTCAACTTCTTCCTTGTTTCTACTGTGGTTTCCACTCTGTTCTGGACTGCTGCATTTATTTACAACCTGCCCAATACCTTAGTGGCCTGTGTGGTCCAATGTTGGAACTGGACTGTTCTGTCTTTGCTATGCATCGCTGAAGCTTCTTATTATTTGGCTTTTGCTTCTGTGCACACCATTGCCAACTTGCTTAGGGGGTTCTGCTGCACCATGGAGAGCCTGAAATTAGTGGGTCACCTGTTCAACTACATAACGCTGCGGAGCAAGGAGATTATGCACAGAGGTTTTTGGAATCTGGTTGGATCTGGCCAGTCCCTTCTGAGGCAGGTGTGTGAAGTATTTGCCATTGCTGTGAGCCTTGTGGCTTACTTCATCAACAGCATCATAAACATCTGCCTCATTGGTACCCAGAACCTTTTCTCGCTAGGTCTGGTCCTATGGGAAACTATTGCTGGCCCATTTCTCAGAATTGCAGAGATTTTTGCTGCCATTGTTGCACGCCTTTCCAGCAGTGCCATTGCCATGTCCATCCTTCTGTGGACTCCTTGCCAGCTAGTATTTGATCTTCTAGCCTCCATGTGCAAGCTGCTGCTTAATGACTTCTTCCTTAACCTTTATGGCTTGGTGTTGCTCACTGTGGTTGTAGCCACCAGCATTTTAATCCTTAATCCTCAACTGTCATGGACACTGGTGAACCAGGTATCTGGCTACTTGAACACCATGCCTTCCTACCACCGCCTGCTCAGGGATTTACACCGCCTCTATCAGGTTGTGCTCATGGCGCTGGAGACAGTCCTGAGCTCCCAGGCTTGGCGCAGGTTGGCTGACTGGAGTCTTCAGATGGCCAGCTGGAACAGAGGGGGCAGGGGTGCAGAACACCAGGAAGTGAGAGAGCAACTGTTTGTGTTTGGGGATGAGAGACTATATATAGCTCCTGTGGTTCAGAGACAAGCCGTTCCTGCAGCAGCTCATCCAAGAAGACAAGGTGGCCATCAAAGACAGGGCAACAGGGACCAACACAGAACAGACATTGATCTGGTGTCATCCTCGCAAGAGAGTGTGTTCCCAAGGCACTTCCATCTCCCTCCAGGTGAAGGACCAAGCACATCGCAGACCAGACCTGCCACGAAAGAGCAACTGAACGCTCCGGAGGAGGACGGTGACCCATGGCTGCTTCTTAAAGAACAAGAAGAGCGGAAGAAGTGTGTCATCTGCCAGGACCAAACAAAGACTGTCTTGCTCCTTCCCTGCCGGCACCTTTGCTTGTGCCAAGAATGTACTGAAATCCTGCTGCAGCAGGCCATCTACCAGCGCAACTGTCCACTCTGCCGTCAGATGATCCTGCAGACTCTCAATGTTTACCTTTGAGCAATGTGTGGGACAGCTTCATCTGCATTTCTTCAGTCTCTAGGTGCATTGGCCGCAGTGTGTGGTCTCGGGCCTTTGTGCCTCTGCCTTTCTGTGGAGAGCAGCTCCACGCTGATCACTGAGGTCAGCTGCGGCTTTTTTTTTTATTTCCAAAGAAATGTGATAATAACAAATACTATGAATGGCTTCTATGCACCCTTTGTTCTCTTTTTCTTCTTGAAAGAGCAGAAGCCTGTCAAGAGTAAAACGATGAAACATTACTATGGCTAGGGTGTGGAGTCTTTCTGTTGAGCCATCTTGCTGAGTGTTCAGAACAGGGGCTTAAAACATCAGGTACATATAAGTGGGTTTCTGGCAAGAGCTTGGCTCTTGCAAAGAGAACAGGTGCTAAAATTCCAGGATTTCCTATGAATTTGTGTGTAGCACAGTAAAGCCTATTGTTTTGTCGAATGGCTGGAAAAAACAGGAAGGTTATGTTTCTTATAGGGTTGGAAGCCTCCCCCTTTATTCTAGAATAGGGATCCAAACCTGATGCCCTAATTTTGGACTGCAGCTGCCATCATCCCCGACCCTTAGCTCCGTGGGCTAGGGTTGAATAGCATTATTGTCCAAAACACCTGAAAGACACTGAATTTTTGGAAGACTTGGTTCTAAAGGAATTATCCATAGTTGTGAGCCTGCAGCTCCACTAAGCTTTTCAGCAGGCCCGTTTATTTTTGCAGAATAACTTTTCACTTTGCTAATATAATAGCCCACACTTGCAAGTCCTGTTCTTTATTTGGTGATCTCCATCAAAAGGGACTTATTGAGAGCTCTTAGCTTACTGAAGCCAACCAGGAGACAGTCCCTTACTTTAAAAACAACAACAACAACAGCCAGTGTGTTCATTCCCAATGCCTAAATCAGTTTATTTAATCTCTTAATTTTACAAGAACCGTAAGACTAGAAGAAACAAATTTTCTCTTCTAGTTTTCTTTGTTCATTACTTTCATATCATCAAATTCATGAGAAAGATAAGCTGAGGACCAAAAGCACAGACAGCGTAATTTATTTAGAAGTTAAATCAGTATTCTGTGACAACTCTGGTTAGGTAACTTCCACAAGTTGGATGCAGAACTACCGTTCCAGCCTTATTAGGTTAGGGTTGGGAGGAAACTAGGCTTGTATTTTGGCGACTAACAAATGACTGTTCTATCATCAGTACTGGCAACTCCTTAGTTTGCTTTAGTGTGTGTACTGAGATAGCAGTGTGTGTGTGGGGGGGAGGCATTTTACAACTCCTTGCCTGGGTTGGATTTGAGCAGGGTGATGACCTCGTTAAAAAAATCAGGTCTTCTGCAAACCAGCAGTACTCCTTGTTTAATAGATAGAAAAGTAGCTGTGAGGGAAGGCAGGCACGTAGGCTAGAGTGGTTTGTTTGACTGTCACGCTTGGCATAACATTGGCTCTAAGCACCTCTTCCTCTCTCCCCCCCCTCCGCCAGTTAGTGCTTTGGAGGCCAGACTTCTTGGTAGCAAAGTACTTTTACCATGCTGCAGCACATGGTTTGTTAAGTCAGCTGAGAATTTGAAAAGCAAGGTTGTAAGGGCTACCCCGGTGCAACTCAAAAGTAGGGAAGAAGTATTTCCCTCTCTTGGGGTAAATGTCAACATCAGTTTGCAAAAGGAATGTTGTGGGCATAAACTAGATTTTGCTCTTTACCTCTACATTTCATAGGCTAGGCCTGTGCTAAATCTCTTGGCCAACTACATAACACTTTCCAGTATGCAGAATTTGTTTCCTACTGAAAGAAACAAAAGTTGGTTTCCCCCACCTCACCTTTTGATGACATCTGGTCCAAATATTGGAGGGGTTTTGTAAATCTAAATGACCAGCTAGCTCGTGTCCTTCTCAAGTGAATATTTAAATAACTGGATGGAGGTCACAGTGGGGGTCAGTCCCCCAGTCTCTACAAAGCTTGGAGACTGGCCTGGGCTAAGCTGGCAAACACTGGGCCAGGTAGGACCTGCAGACTAGAGGTGCCCCCTCCCAGTTTACTTGGAAACAACAGCATTTTATTTTTAGGGTTTTTTAAAAAAAGGTTTTAAAACCTTGGAGGTAAATTGGCAGAACCCTGTTGAGTTGTATTGGAGCATTTTTCAAGCTCCTTGGAGTTAAGGCCAGCTCTAGCATCTCTAGAGGATATCTGGTACCTTGTGCGCAACTTTGGCAGTAAAACAACTGGGGTGATCAACTGCTGAACCCGAGTGCCTTAATCGTGGGCGATCAGACAGGGCGACGGTGTTGAAAGTCAGCAAGTTATTAAACTAGCATGCTCATGTGAGAATCTAACTCATTCCATCATATGCTTTTTGAATTGTTTAAGAATTTTCCTGCAACTTAACAATGAAGATGAGTGTGAGGATGAGAACGATTTCTGCAGCAGAATTGTGCAGCCTGATATTTTTGTCTTAGACTACAGTTCCTGTCACGGCAGCCTGAAACAGACCACGCTAGATAGGAATTGATGACCCATGTTGTCCAAGGCATAGGAGGGGTGTGATTTTGCGGAAAGATGCTCTTGAGCTGTCTTGTTCCGTGCTTCACTGGCTTTCCACTCATGGTGAGTGCACGCGCACACACAGATGCTCTTGAGCTGTCTTGTTCCGTGCTCCACTGGCTTTCCACTCACGGTGAGTGCACACGCACACACTGTATATGTGTGTGTGTGCGCGCGCGTGCGCATGTGTGCACGTGCACATGCATATGCAGACCCTACCTGTGCAAGAGACCTAGAAGGTCCAGACTGCAGGTTTTTATTTGCACTGATCTGTACAGAGGAGTTACAGAAACTGCGTGAGCTGGGGAGCAGTTTAACTTAGAAGAGTATGCAGTTCTGGTCCCTATTTCCCCACCATCTGGCTCTGAATAATACTATTCCAACTTGTTTAAGCAGTCAAGTTTTTTTTCAGACCCTACCTGTGCAAGAGACCTAGAAGGTCCAGACTGCAGGTTTTTATTTGCACTGATCTGTACAGAGGAGTTACAGAAACTGCGTGAGCTGGGGAGCAGTTTAACTTAGAAGAGTATGCAGTTCTGGTCCCTATTTCCCCACCATCTGGCTCTGAATAATACTATTCCAACTTGTTTAAGCAGTCATGTTTTTGTGTGTGCAGAGTTAACTGCAGGCTGTTGCTGGCTGGAAGGAGAACTGAGAAGGAGGTGCTTGGCGTTACAGCAAAAGCCTGCCTGCTACCTTTCTGGATCTCGCCCCTCACTCCTGATTTGTGCCTTCTTCCAACTGCTGCCCGTTCTGATCATCTTGTTGTGTTTTCTGATCCAGGACTTGCTTCAGCCCGTCACAGGATTCTGTTGCAATTGCCCTTCTGATGCCTCTGGCAGGGCTGTTTGTTTGCTTATGCAGTCTTTGCACTGTGTAAACGACTATTTGAAAATTAAAAGGAAATCCTTTTTTTTCAAAAATTAAGTTTTGCATGCTGTGTTTTTAAAAGAGGGATCCACATTACAACGTCACAATACTTCATGCCTGGCCTTTTGGGTTGGAAAACATGTACAAGCTCTCATTTTGCTCCCCATGTCTGCATAGTGTAGCAGATCGAGTTTTGCACTAATCTCCTCTCCACCATGGAAACTCGCTGGGAGGGAGGTGGCTCTGATAAAACAACTCCTTAAATATCTCACTTATCTTGGAAGCCCTGTTAGGGTCCCTGTAAGTTGGCTCTGACTTTAACACGATTTGCTTGTCAAGGAGTACCCCTTGCCTGGAGAAGGGACCCCGTATTCCCTGTGGAGTTTGACTTTAGGCAAGTCAACTTTCTGACCTCAGTTCTCTTAACTATATCTCAGGGTCAAAAGAAATCCTTGGGAATTGTCCATAAACATGTAAGCCTTAATTATTCTTGCCCTCTTCCCAATCCGGAGGGCTAGTAACTTAAAACATAGCCTGGATGCCATTTTCTGCGTACAATCCTCTGGTGTGTGGAGGCCCGTTTAGACTGTTGCTGCTGTCTTGGTATTTTCCATTCCTAGATTTAATCCGTATCTTGCATCTGGTCAGATGGAGTCTGTGGCTGTATTCTGACTTGGGGCTGCTGTGGGTTCAAAAGCCCCTTTTGAAACACAAATGGAATCTGGCTAGACCAGATCACTGTGGTCCTTCTGACACTGCCACTGTCTCTCTCTCTCTCTCTCTCTTGTGAAATTGAGCCAAGAAAGGCCTGACTTGAAATCAAGTGACTCACTGTGGAATTCTCCACTGCAGGAAGAGAAACTGGGTGAGTTTCCAGAGGAAGCTGAGAAAAGGGTAGTAGAGGGTTTTAAAAATATACCGGGGTCATGGGGTCAGCATTGGTTAGGAATAGATTTTTTTCCCACCGTTCTTTTTTTTCATCCAGTGCTACTAATAATTATTATTTTTGCGTTCAACGTGATTTGCATTTATGCTGAAAGTTAGTGCCCTCTAGCAGTTAGAGGTATCGGGGCTGGGACTTGAGAGAACCAAGTTCTAGACCCCGCTGAGCCATAAATCTCATCCGTCAAATGAAAAGTACAGATTGTTGCAGCTGATCCTGGGGGTTCTCAGATGTGTGTTTCAGATGTTCGTGGACTGAATCTTCCAAAAGCCCTGACCGCTGGCTAGGGCTTCTGGGAGTTGTAGTCCGAGAACACCTGTGACCCCCAGATGTAAGAACCGTGGCTGGACAGCGATCCTGTTCATTCAGTGGGTGGTATTGTTCCAGCTTTATAGAGGACAAGGTGACTCTCAATAGCCTGGAGCACAAAGATCTGGCTGGTATGGCTTTTGTTTTTCACCAAAAAGCAGCCTCGGCAGGTTGCAGTTTTATACAGGGCCAGAATTATGAAATAAAAAACCCACCACAAAGCTGTGTAAAGAATACTGCAGTTGGAACCCGAATCGAACAAAAAGAAGCATGCCAGTAGGATGTGTTCAGTATTAGGTAAAATAGTTTTCATTTGTTGTCAACTGGCTACCAAGACAAAATGTACAGTATCTGAAAGCGGGTTAATTTTATTTGCACACCCTCGGGGATAATACTGATCTGAGATTGTACTGACCTCCTGTCGACCTTACAGGACAGATACACACCTATTTCTCCAAGGCCGGTCAGGTACAGGGAGCCCATGCTGCTTCAATTGTGGCAATGTGGAAATTTCCTGAGGAATGTGGAAATTTCCTGAGCAATGCCCGTGCAAAGAACAGTTTGATGCTTATCCAGAGAGACTCTTTTGCCCTGTTCTG